TAATATAATGTTATTTGATTTACATGAGATATGCTTCAAATCAGCTTTATTATTATGCCCTCCTTAATTTTAATGACAGTGTGACTATATCGTAGCCTCATTATCGGGAAAAACTTGACATTTTATATGTGATATCTGTACAAATACAACACTGATCAAACAGTAGTGAAATATGACCGGATGCAGTGCACCGTGGTGATAGTCTGACTTTTATTTTGTGATACATCTCAGTAGGAGCTGTGCTGTTGGATTGATAAGTGTCTGGATGTCACACTGTCCTCGGCTCCACTGAGGCAGCATCGCTGTTTGTCCAAATGAGGATTCTCTGGGTGATGACACAGATACTACGGCCATGGTGTTACAGTCTAAATCTGACTGTGCCCAGAAGGCCGTAACATAAGACAGTGATTTACAGAGAGACTTGTGGTGCCTCAGCAGTGAGCATCATTTTGTCTTGTCAGACTTAATCCCCGAGTGTGAAGCAGCTCTGCATCGAGAGTCATGTGATTATTGCCGTTGTGTGTTCGGGGATTTACCATGTGGGATTGTTGCTACACTGGAGCAGATAAGTCAGCTGCAGAAATTATGTCTGCCTATGAAGATAACATTTAACACTTTATCATCTGTTAGCTGGTTACAGAAATGGAGGTTTTGCAGATACAACAGGGACAGCACATGATACATTACTTTGAGAAATCTCGGGCACCTCTAGGAAGTCAAAGAAGAGTTTATCAGACATGACAAAACGAAGGACAAAAAGCTGTCATGTCATGTCCCCCACCATTAAGTCAAACTGAAGTACACTATGTGTGAACCTTTTGGTTTGTTAGGTGACCTGGATTTCTGGGCAACAAAAGGAACTGGAGCTTCAAAACAAGACAAGTGTCATTACTTTGGCTCTGTGGATCTTAAACTGATAAACTCAAACAGGAATTAGGCGATTGTTTTATCTTCTATTGTGTGTCACAGAAGGTGAAGACCAGTGCTGTATCTGGGCCAGCTCACAACGTCCTCACCCAAAATCTAGCTTGTCAGAGTGTGATGTGTCGGGGCGACGCTGACCAATAGCAGCACAGACTGTTCTTTTGCACACAATGCCCTTGCCATATAGGACTAAATTGTATTTGTTAAATCCTTGAGTTATGAAGATATGACTCAGACCACAGTGACAGATGGCATGTCACAAAGCCGACTGTGAAAGCCAATGTTAAAGGGGCTGGCTACTTTTTAGTTTTATTGCTGATTTAAAATACTTTTTACCTGAACTTCTCCTTGAAGCAAAGAACCTACACTGCTGTCTTTGTCTGACTCACAGACGAGCGAGTTGGCCTGTGATTTGTCGGCTACCAACATGTAGTCTATGACCCTCAGGCATACCTCTTCGTCAGGTCGTTTCAGTACCTGATGAGGACGTAATGTCGAAAGATTGTAATGGTGGCTGTGGTTTGGCCTGAATAAAAGGATTTGTGTGGGAACATTTAATCAGTGTGCAGGTTTTCATTTCTTTTCTCTAGCATTGTTTGTTGGTCTCCACACCTGATGTTACACAGAACGTTCTTTTGGGAGGTGCACATTCCACTTAAATGTTTTTAACCAACATGTAATTTGTCCTGACAGGCGCCATGTCCAGTGTCCCTTCTGTGTTGTAGCTCTGTGTTGGTTGTGTACAGTTTAACATTACCTACAAGCGTGAGCCTTGAAAATAGCGCACAGGCTCAATCTAATGTTTGTGGCCATGGTGTCATAGGAACGTAAACATTTGCTGTCAGAACCTGTATGGGTTCTACTTCTGTCATTAGACATGTCAACAGGTGTTGAAGCGTGATCTCTGTTATAATAATCTTGTTTTTCCTCCTTTTCCAGTCTGCTCCCAGTTCTCTAAGGGTGTGTATGCCATCATGGGTCTGTACGACCGGCGGACGGTCAACATGCTGATGTCTTTCTGCAGCTCTCTGCACGTCTGCTTCGTCACGCCATCCTTCCCCATCCAGACCAACAACCAGTTTGTCCTGCAGCTGCGGCCCCAGCTTCAGGAACCCCTAATGGCCCTCCTGGAGCACTTCTACTGGACCAGGTTCGTCTACATGTACAGCTCCGACTCAGGTGAGGACTCTCAATACGGTACTAATGATCGCATTCACACAGAGCAGTGTAATGTAACAATGTGGATTTCGTGGTTGTGTTTTTATCACTGGAAGGTTCATGTCCTGCCTCCTATCAGTTAGTGTTGACATTTCACTGTTTAACCATCTTTATTATTATTTAACCATTTAACCAGGACAATTTACCTGTGACAAATTCAGTTCAGTGTTAGGGTTGATTGTCGTTTCAATTTTATTGCTGCTGCTAATTGAATCCAGTTCTCATGGAATCTCAGTTCAGTTTTCAATGTTTTTTTAGACAGACAAAAACAACAAATATTTCAGGAACAAAAATAACTCAACCTTGCTTCTTGGCACCTTTTCAGATCTGATTTTATGTTTATTTTACTGTGTTGTACCAGGCTGCTATCAAGTGAATGCACAGACTTTCCCTGGAGGGAGATTTGTATTTGGGATTTAGGGCCTTGGTCATCTCTGTGCACAAAAATTTTACACTCGCGTTACAGTGTTACACGTAGGGTCAGACAAATAATAGTTTACTGTAGAATATAATGTTAGTTGTTCTGTCAGAAGGGTATCAAAGCAGGCCATGGATATTGCTGTGAATAACCAGATATTAGTTATGCAGTTTGCCTATGTGACTGGTAGAAACTCAACTGCAGCAAAGGGATAAAAACACCTTCATCACAAATTGTGTTACTGCACGGTGACATTCATCCACTTTCTTCTTGCTCATTTTCCCCTTCGTGGCCAAAGGGAAAGGAGTTTCTGTACCAGAAGGGGGGTCCCCGGGGACAAACAGGAGGCGGAGGGGTGCTCTATGAACTCCTGTCTAGGAAATGTATACAGTCATGGCAAAAAGAAAGTACACCCCCCTTCAGTTCTAGGTTTTTGCTTAATGGGACCGAAAGAACAATTATATGGACCTCAACAATGTCTGTATATTAAAAACAAAACAACATAACTTCAGACGACAAGGAAAACAACAGATTTCAACATGTAGTTACTGTTTCCCAAAAGTAAGCCAACATTCAGAAGCCAGTTGGGAAAATATCCTTTTTAATTATGGATACTCCTTGTATGGCAGTTAGTGCTGTGGAAGTGGATGTTAGGCTGAAGTTATTGGGATGACATAAGTTTTGTATTTACAGCAATTTACATACATATAGTTAGGGGGAGGGATGTAAGAAATAAGGAATACAGATCCATCTCTGATACATATACTACGAGTAACTTTAGACTTTATTACATACTAAATCAAGGAAACTTTAAGTAAAGTTGCCAAAGAATTGGCAAGAGAATAAAAAGTGATTCAGGCAGTTAAACCTTTGCAGAACACTTGGTTTTATTTCACCTCAGTCTCTTCGAGCCAGGCTGAACAGAAAGTGCAGGAGAGTCCCTGAATGCAGTGATAGAGTTTGACAGAAAAGCCTCAGACCCAGTTCTTCATTTTCTGCTGCCTGTCAGCCCAGGTTCACTTTTAGACACAATCTGAACTGTGCGTCATGAACTTCCCCTAAATCCAACTTTACCTCCAGCTCTTCGACCAAACAGACAGAATTAGCGCTGTCATTTCCCCATCTCTCAGCTGGGTCTAGTGTCTCCCTGCAGCCTGTGGTCTGACGTTCTAGACCATTTGACAGGCGGTGGCAGACTCTGTCTAATCTTATTGCCTTTTGCATCTGCCCAGGCACCCGTTGGTGGGAGTCTATCTGGTGTAATAGTGCGTAAATGTCTGCCTCGGCGGTGCATTCTGTCTGATGATAGTGCTCCTCAGCATCTGCCGAGGAGACATTAGCTGTTTGTTTGGGCTTTCCTGAAGCCAAGAGCCTCCAGCACAGCTTTGGTTTATGTCCACTATCAGCGTCTGCACATCAGTGGTGATAACGGAGAAGGATAAATTAAACTTGGTCTGTAACACTAAGAGGCCAGATGTTGCTACTGTATGTTTGTGAGTTACATTTTATACAACGCAAGAACCAAACTCCAACAAGCTACAAAATACTTTTTGTAGTTAGTCATTCTGGTGCAAAAATACGTCCAAGAGAGTAACTAAGTACTTAATCGCAGTTCTGAAGTAAATCTGCTCCACCACTAATGAAATAAGATTGTTTACTTAAATAAAAGTAGCAATAGAAAAGTGTAGAAATACTCTCTTACCAGTAAAGGTCCTGCATTCAAAATGTTCAAAAGTATCAGCATCCAAATCTACCTGAAGTACCAACAGTACCAGTACTCGTCCTGCAGAACAGCCCGTGTCCCAGTAATGTCTCTGATACCACTGGATCATAGTGACTGATGCGTTACTGTGTTCATCACTTTAATGCTGCAGCTGGTAAAGGTGGAGCTGATGTTAACTACCTCATATACCTATACTGTGAAGTAGTTTCCATCCTACTGGGTAGCTGGTGGATTTCCCACCAGGATCAATAGAGTCTGATGGTTCTACTGGGTTTGGTTTGGTTTGATTCATCTGATTCTGGAAAGGAACTGAAGTTATCAGGTACATGTAGGGCAGTAAAAAGTACACGGTTTGTCTCTGACATGGAGTGAAGTCACAGTATGAAGTAACAGGATGTGGAAATACTCAAACTGTACTTTACTATATTTAGAGGGAAATTATTTTTTACTCTGCTACATTTTTGCTGGTGTCCTTACTAGTTAGTATGCAGTATTTTACGAGCACTTTAAGTTAAAATAAAATATGACGACACATAGTTTGGTTTGTGATCTCAGACAAAACAATTTCCTTCTGCCCTCACTCAACACATTCCCTTCTCTTCCTTTCTTTTTTAATCCTCTCCTTTTCCTCCTTCCTGTCTCTCTACATTTGTTTTCCTCTTATTTTGCTTTGCTACCTTCCTCTTCTTTCTCTTACAGTATCTTGTTTTTCTTAGTTTTTCTTCCCCTTCCTACTTTTCTCACCCTCCTTTATTTCTTTTAATTCCTCCACCTATGTCTCCTCTAGTCTCCTCTCCCTTTATTTCCCTTTTTCAATTTTCCTTGCCTCTCGTCTCTTCCTTTTATTTTTTTAGCTTCTTTCCTCTTCTCATGCTCTTTCCACCTCTTCACTCCTACTTTTCCTCTCCTCTGTTTACCTCTCATCCTCTTTCCTGTCATTATGTCCTTTACTCTCACTTCCCTTTCTCTCCTCTCCTCCCTGTAGACTCACTACATTCCTCCCTGAAAACTGTCAAGTGCCTATTTTCTGCTCGTTTGCTGGTATTCGGCTCACTGCAACAGATGCTCTGAAGCCTTTTAGTGTGTGTGTGTGTGTGTGTTTGTGTACATTATCAACAACCCAACCATTTATTACATAATGAATTTAAAAGCCTGCACTGACCTTTATTCAGTGCAAGCATGCACAAAGATAAGGATGTTATAAGCCCTGACTCATCCCATAATTATTGCTCTGTCTTGTTGCCATGGATACAGCCATGCAGTAAAGGATGTCTTCTGTACAGTGACAGTGATGTACAGTATTTGCAGCCTTTCACCTCCTCCCCCTCCTCTTCTTCCTCATCTTTCTCGGCAGAATCCAAATGTCCAGACTTCACCTCTTCCTGTGTCTTTCCAGGGTGGCAGTAAATAGGAAGTGTTACAAGGAAACTATAATAAATCCTAGCTCCCTTATTTGATCAGTCCTTGCTCTTTGATCTTCACTCAACCCGGAAGTTGTTCTGGTTGAGCAAGGATCGTGGACATCCCAGAGCCTTTTCTCCTGCTCTGAGGAGCAAGGGGGCTGCTGGGAGGAGCCACGATTGACAACACACAAGTGCATTCTTTACAAATGTCTCTTCATAGACCGACACACCCCTTTATTGGGAATCAGGTGGTGATTGGATACTGGATGTGTCACGTTGCTAATAACGTTTCCTTAATTCTTCTCTCCTCACATCTCCTCACGCAAGAAAAAAGTGTAACTGAAGGAAATGTGGATGCAGCTGAGGAAATGGAGATTTATCAAGAAGTCACTGGTTTCAGGCTGAGACAGTCTAGGAAATGTGAGCATTTCTTTCATCAGTTGTTCTGAGAACAGTGAAAACGTGCTGCTACAGTGTACTTTTCTTCAACAAATCACCTCCACTACAGAAAATGAAACCTCAGTTCTCCAAGTCTCTGAACTCTCCTGGAGGGATGAACACCGTTCTTCCAACACGTTTCTTTTTGTGTGTGTTACCGTCAATACTTTCTGCTTTTTCCTGATCCACAGACAAAAGGCCAAACCAGACAGATTAATGTGTACCATGACATGCTGGCCCTGAGCCGTCCTTCCTTTGGCCCAGCATCAGACAGCAGTGTTTTAATGAGTGTCTGAGGACACGTGGAGGCGATCGCTGTAATTCTCTGTATGAGCTCTGCTGGGAAAACAATGCTGGGGATGAAGGAAACATAGCGGTACCCTGCTGAGGAGTCTCCTCTTCTTCTCTTCCTCCTTCCCTTTTCTTTGGTCCTCATTTCCTTCCCCTCTGTTCCTTTCTTTTGTTTGTGTCTCCTAGTTTCTCCTCCATCCCTTTGTTTCTTTCTTCTTTTCTTTTCCTCTTTCATCTGTTCTCATCACTTTATTCCTTTTCTTTCCTTTATTTGCATTCCTCTCATTTTGTCTTTCCTTTTTACCTCCTCTCTTCTCCTTTCCTCATATCACCTTTCTTTTCATTGTTTGCTTTCTTGCCTTTCCTCTGTCCTCAGATTGTTTTCCTTTTCGCATCATTTCCTCTCTGCATTTCCTCCTCCTTACATCATATCCTCTTTCCTCTTGTCTTTCCACCCTTTTCTTTTTTACCACCATACCTTTTTCTTTTCTTGTCATCTCCTCTTCCTCCATCTTATTATCTTATATACTCTTTCCTCTCATCTCATTCCTTTATCCTTATCTCCTTTTTCCTGTTTCCCTCATTATTTTCCTTTCATCTTCTGTCCTCTTCTTCTTTAATTCCTTCCTTCCTTCTGTCTTTTCCTTCTCTTCTTCTGTTCTTCTGTCTGTCCCTCTCCTCTGTCCCC